AATACTTGTTGAATTATTGGCAAGCGTACCAAAATTATCAATCGCAGTATAATATTTCGATTAAATAAAATTCGATCCCACGAAGAACGGTTTCAATGAAAATTCCCAATTATGCTTACTAAGTATATTAAACAGATTGAGTTTTACAAATAAGAGTTAAATTGAAATTAAATGACAAAGAACTGTAAATTGTTGAGAAAATATCAATTAAAGGTACTTAGGATTGACTTCCTTCCTTATCCCTCTTTTGTAATGGCTAAATCAATTAAAAACGTTAATTAACCTAACAATGTTGATGCCACCTACTTAAATCATCCATGTTGATTCCTCACACATGAAATTCATAAGAAAACCTAATAAATGTTGATTCCTCACACAATTAAGAGATTTCCCAGCATTAGGTTTAGGGTGTTAAGCAATTGATACATTCATTCCATTCCTGGCAATTAACGTAACAAATATTCTTACCGTGATCTAGGGTTCAAGATATATTTTCCAATCATACCTCAAACATCAAGAATAAATCATTCCAAAGCATAAATGATAAGAATAACAACATCAAAGCATAGATTAATATCTCAAAATATCACCATGATACAAAAGAGTTCAAAGGAAATGCACTGAATCCTAAGAGAATGAAGTTAGTCACTCATGTTGGCTATTACAATGCTCTAATTGATGAAAAAGTGAAAAATTGATGAAGATTAGACGAAATCCTAACAGTAGTCGTGCCTCCTCTTCTCCAAGACTGCTTGCTTTTTCAAAACACATCTTATCTTTTTATAAGAGAATTTGGGTCGAGCCTCGCATCATTCATTCGTTTAAGAGTTCTTCTTTTTTTCAATTTTTCTCTAATTATGCTGACAATTATGTTCCATACTCTTGTATCAAGATATTCTCGAATTCATCCTATATTGGGAGAAAAATAGATTATAATTAACATAAGTTAAATGGTTTCATAACAATTTAAGGCATAATTATATCAATTTTTTACCAGTTAACACTTCTACTAATCAACATTGTGTTTCATCATGTGTTGCACTCTTAACATTTCTTTCCCTTTAATTATATTTTTATCTACCAAATCCACCTTTGATTTACCTAGTAGATAAGGAAGAGAAATAAATGGGGCTGGCAACAATTTCATACGGTATAATTTTGGTAGTTATATAATAGTTGGTATTATACTACCACTCAGGCAGAGGTAGTCATTTGCTCCATTGAAATGGAATAACCCAACAAATGCACCTCAATTGGACCATTAGTTTGAGAATGATAATTAGAAAATAGTTATATTTAAATACAGTGGACACTCATAAATTCTCTTTAGAAAAAATAGAGTCTCTACTGATTATGGTATTGGGCAACTGATGCAGTTTGAATATATTATAAAAAAAAAAAAAAAGTGAGCTAATGTTATGAAATGAGCGATCTTTACTCAATTTATCAACATCAACAAATATAACTTTTTCATTTTTCCATCAATTTTTTTCATTCATGCACTCATTTTATCTTTTGACATTTCTATCTTTTATTTTTGTTATTCATTCTCTCTCATGTTATTTTTTTCTTTCACGTTTCCACCTTACAAAATAAAAATTATATCTTTTAGTTTTTAAATTTTTATTTTTTATAATTTTATCTCTATAACATAAAAATTATAATTTGTTGTTCTTTAGGTTTTTAGATTTTTTTAAATCTTCTAAAAAGGTGAAATGTCAAAAAATAAATGAGATATGTCAAAATAATTCTTTTTGAAGTAAAAAAAATAATTAATTTTTATTATTTTTATTTATTATTATAACAAATTAGAGGTGTAATATAAAAATATGAAATATTAATATATATTTTTTATTTGTTATAATTAATTAATTATTTTAATATTTTATGATATTTTATTTTAATAATAAATATAAATAAACAAATTTCAATTTATGTTTTAAATATAAAATTATAAACTATTTTTTAAAAGAAAATAAATTAAATAAACTTTATTTTCTAAATTTAAATTCAATAAATAGTATTAATATGTAATATATTCATATTTTTATAAGTTATTTTCATTTCTAAAATTTCTAATTCTGTCCTACAATAATTGTTTTGTCTTTTTTATGTAAACGATGGACTTATATTATGAATTTTATTTCATTATGCATTTTACCAAATATATTAAGTGTAGAGCTTCTTGTGACGTGCGATTAAAAAAGCAAAAACACTGTAAAATATAATAATAAAAAGATTTTATAACTACCAGTTTCAACTCCACATAAGATAATTATTGGACAGATTAATTATAATTATCACACATATTTATTCGGTCTAAATTCATTACAAATATTATATTTATTTTGTTATTGATTATTTTTTATAATATCTTATATTTTGGACTATCCATTATTATATTTTTTATTTATTATTATTTTTTTATTTTTTATATAAAAAAACTTAACCAAAGAAAAAACTTTATCTTATTAATTATTTTTCAAGTGGTCTCTCCGATTTCTCAAGGAAAATATATTTTATTTATGAAATTTCTAATTGGATAAATTAATAAACGTAAAATTCATCAATAATGTTAATAATATACTCTTTATAGTTATAGAATACTTTTAGTTAAATTTGATTTATAAAAGGAATATAACATTCGAGGGATTTATTATTATTTTTCTGATGGATGGATCGGGTCAGACTTTTTAAATTAAAAAAAAAAGTTAAGTGGAACATGAGAATTATTTAATTTTGTAAGGTGTTTATTATTAATTAATTATTTTTATCATATATATATATACTATATAATTATATATCAGGAAATAAATCTGTAATTAGTATTCGGTAATTAATTGTTTATGAAATAAAGGTAGTATATGCCTAGAAGATGTTATAAACCTTTATAATATAAAGTTTTAAAATTGTATCACGTTGGTTTACAATTTATTAATTTAATTAGATAATTAGATTGAAGGTATTAATAATATTTTAATAATTAAAAATATATAAAATATTACAAACATATAATAATTATAATTTTATGGTACTAAAAATAAAAATAAAACCTGTTAGATTAAAAAAATATAATATAAATTAGGATTGGGTGGGGATGAGAGATCGAGAAATAATATTATTTTTTATGCATTTTTTATTATATGCCTAGTTATATATTTTACAGATTTTTATTAAAAAAAGGAAATCACATTTAAAAAAGAGATATTAAGAATTAAAAATGAGATTAAAATTTTAAATTGACATAAATTTTTTTGAGTAACTTATAAATAAAAAATACTCAAAACCTATTATGTTCGTTTAGCTTAATGTTAAAATTAAGTTAGTCGAATTAAAATTCATTAAATTAAAACCGTCTTCCTGTATTTTGTCTTTAATGTGTGTTCTTTGCATTGGATTTTTGTTCAGTTATGTTGCATTTCATAAATTGCATCGACAGTAATCTCTATTTAATATTTATCTGAATTTTAAGATTTATTGTAACTATAAAATACAATTCAAAAATTAAAACCAATGGAAACCTTATGCCTCACACTCATGAAAACTAATATTCTTTTAATAATACGCTATAATAAGAGGAATAAGATTTAAATATCATACGAAATAAGATTTTTATGGTTAAATAAAATGAAAAAAATTACATTAAAAGTAATAATTTTTGATAAATTTGTTAATATTTTTAATTATATAAGAATTAATGATATTAGATTGGTCAATAATCATCAATGATTTTTATATATCAAATAAAAATTATAAATACATATGATCATTAAGTTTTTGGCAAAAATTACAAGTATATGTAAGTTACCAAAAAAATATGAGACAGACATCTTTCAAAAGTTTTGATTTTTGTCCTGGTTCCTCGTTATTTAAATTATAATATTTATATGTTAACAATTGACTTATATTCTGTATATGTAAAAAAAAATAAAAAATTCTGACGATGAGTCACAACAAATTGATAATTCAAAAGAGTGAAATAAAAAATATGAAATTTTGGTATGACATGTCATGTCTATTTTGGTATTTAATTTTTTTTAACTTTATTTAAAAATATAATATTTTTAGTTTTAATTATAATGTTTATGAATTAAAAAATAGTCATATAATTATATTTTTTATTAATTTTAAATAAAAAATTTCACTATTTTATGATAATACATTATTATATGTGTGGTTTATCTAAAATTTAAATTTTAGATGAATCTTAGTTACTTTTAGTAATGATTGTAAAAAAGAATTTTATTATATTCAAATGAAATTTAAGAATAAGATAAGTTTATTATTTAAAATTTTCATAAAATGATAAATTTATTAAGTAATGATAATCGTAGATAATATAAAAATTATTAACTCTAACAAAATTTAAAAATTAATAAAATTATTAATCAAATTACTTATTTTGTTGAGAAAAAAAATCAATATAATTGTTTATGTTTTATTAATTGAGATATGTATTTTATGGTAGGGAGAAACTTACTTTAATATATTTACCAAATCAAACCGGTTTAGCTTTTGTTGAGTTTAAGATAAACACTAGAAAAGAGTATTTAGAAAGAGCATGAAGGTGAGAACGGGTATCCCTCAAAAGGAGAGGGAGGAGTTAAAGCATTTTGAAGTGATAACGATGACATTGAGAAGGCAAATTTTGAAGAGGAGGACTTGGGCTTCCTAAAGGCAGATTTGAAAATCTTATTTTCAAATAAGATTTGCACCCCTCCCCAACCTCGTCCTCACTATTAGGTCTATTGCAGAAGGAACCAACTAACCGAGGAAATATAATTTAGAAGAGAATTAGAGCTTCGGAGTATGCAATTTGTCAGTATACACAAACTGTCAATGGGACCAGCTTATGTATTTTTGATATATGTTTAGAATTTGTGCTGTAATATTTGCTGGTCTTGTGGACATTGAAACGAAGGTGCAACTAATTCTACATCTTAATGGAGCCGGACTTCTTGCCAAATTAGTTTTATGTCAAAGCCGTCCAAGGTATTAATTTATTCATCATGGGGCTCGTCCATGCCAGAGTAATAATGACGAAAAACACACGAAAAGTCTTTGGCTTCATGGCCATCGCCGCAGAGCTCAGTATATCTGCAGAAAACAAAGTTCATCAATAAACAAACTGCATATACTTCATACTCTTAGGACTAACAGAATTTGTAATCACAACTAAGATGTTTCCAACGAAAGCCTCACCCCTTTGCTTTTTAAACAAGTTAAAGTTATTAATAGAGTCCAGCTAGGAAATTATATATTGCCAAAGTAGTTCTTCTGCCAAATCATACATTATGTTATGACACCAGTATAATTTGTGTTCATTTTTTTTTATAGTGGTAATGTGTTCTATAAACTAACCATCATCACTATTTGAAATTAATGAATTGAATTTGAGTAAGATATTAACTATTATTACTCTGTTGCAATGGAAATGGCATGTCATTGCATAACCAGTAAGTGATAGTTCAAGCTCAACTAGTACATGAAGTATAAGCACATGGCTTATATCCATTCATTCCTGATAAACTATTGAATTATGAGGGCCAAATTAAGATTTTGGGAAAGAAAATACAAACAGAATCTCATGTAACATTTATGTGACCAATTATTTATGAAAAAAAAATAGTTAAGAAAAAAAATGCACACTGATAGAGCCGTGTCCGTAAATGGCCTTCGTATTCAACATAAACTGATTTATCTCTATAAAAAAAAAGTTGATTTATCTAGTTGGTAGTTTGCATAATTTGTTTTGCTTTTGTAAAAACACTAGCTGCACCTTAATGCTTAACCAGCACATTCATATTATAATAGTTTTAAGGTCTAGAAACACAACGTTTTCACCAAATGATAGCAAGGGTTGTACGTGACATGTGAAGATTATGCACGAAGAGGGACTTACATCTTTTGCGCTTGTGATGTTAGTGGGAATTTACATCCAGCCAGCTTAGCTGATTCTACTGCTAGGTTTAAGTCTTTAGCCTGGAGCACACATACAATTAATTTGGCTTATTTTTAAGAATCTAAAATTCAAACTTAAGCAAACATACACACTTGTTCATAAAACAAAATATAAATAAATAATAAAGTGAAAATAGTAAAGGAAAAGAGAAGAAACATAAGCAAAACATCATTAATATAGGACATGCAAAAGCTCTAAAAATGAAATTTGTGCAATTAACTAAAAATCCGGCGGTTCCTACGAAGTAGCCCACTAAATCAGAGTAGAACGTTGGGTTTTGTCATAAACTAATAAGTTTTCAAAAAAGGCATTTGATTCAGGAAAGTTTTCATTAGTTTCACTTGGAATTGTTCTTGGTCTACAATCTAAAGGCATTTACAAAATTCATAATTGTTTTTTCTGTTTTTCTGAAAAAAAAGTGGCAAATTTTTACATGCTAATTAGTAATTTAGCATGTATTGTGTGGCTATAGGGAACATGTAAATTCTCTAAGTAAACTGAAGGTTTTCAGAGAGAAAATAATAGCTTGGTTAATTATGTCAGTAGGTGGTTATTCTCATCATTTGAATATCATCAACTAATTGAGTACTTAGTTGTTCTAAATTGAAAATAATTTTAACAATAAGTTTTTTTTTGTAATTCTCCCACATAAATTTCAATATAAATAAATAAATAAAAAATTGATCATTCTTATTCTTATTATTGTATGTCCTTGCTCTGGTATCCCTACATCCTTAGCTGTGAGAATAATCCAGTTTGGGTTGAGCTTGTCCCTCCTTACAATGCATTTGGCAAACTTGTACTGTTGAAATCAATGATTATTAGTAGGTCTAAATTATCGCACTGTAATGACTATTCATAATATAGATATCCAATCGGTACAATTACCCAAATTAAACTCGCGCAAGTTGAGCTAAAGCTCAGTTACTTACCATAAGCTTGGATGCAAACCCTCCTATATAATCCCTTGACGAGGGCACCCCTTCCATCAGCCCAGGAACTGGGTTGTAAGCATCACTGTAATCCATGCAACTACTACCTATTAATTTGATATTCTAAAAACCAAAACTTTAACCTTCTAAAAATTTCCTTAAAGGTTGTGAACTAATCTATATATGAAAAATCGATAGTTGAAAAATGAAGCGTATTTTTGTTTTCACGAGAAAACTAGTAAAGGGTCTCAACGAATACAACAAAACAACATACAGGAGGACTGTTGCTTTTTAGGAAAAAATACCAAGAACGAGTTTGGGATTTTGTCACTTGCAGTGAAGCTAAGTAAAGGCAACTAGTTATGTTTCTTCAAAGTTATGGCCTTTTGAATTTCATGGTACTTTCATTTGTGTTAGGGGAACTATACTCCTACAGTTATACTGCTTACCGATTCTTTTATATCTACAATATGACAGTTACTAATTCTAAGGCCTCAAAGAATCTTTGCTACCACGTATTGTTAATGATGATAATGAAACCAATATAGTTTAGCAGATAATTGTCTCATCGTGTGAGAGAAAAAAGAGTACCTACTCCAACAGCGAGCACTGGAGCAATTAAATATATTTGTCAACGTGCGAGCAGAAACACCAAGAGATTGACCTAGAGCAAGAGCTTCTGATATTCCCAGCATGCTCACAGCCAAAGCCAAATTATTGCAGATTTTTGCTGCCTAATAAGAAACATATGACTTACAATTAAACATACAATTGGGAGTACCAATTAAGTAATGTGTAACTTACAGAACCACTTCCCGCTGCACCACAATATATTGCACTTTTACCCATTGAAAAGAGAATGGGTTTTGCAGCAAGAAATGCTTCCTCAGAGCCACCAACCTGGAGAAGTTCCATTACATGTCCATTACTCAATTTACTGCCAAAAATTTACGACTTTTCTACAACTGTTTTAGCATGGTTACCTCATTCCCATGTGCAGTTCATAACATTACAACCTTTTTCAACCAGCCAATCATAGCTTTAATGCATTATAAATAATATTGTGGCATGATTATAATCAAAATTTAACATCAAATAGAGAACGAACATACTAAAACTCCTAGTTTGGTCATCAGAGTATCAATTTGGTACTTGAATTATGCTTTTTGACACCATAATAGTCCAACAGTTACTGCAAACTTGGAACAGATTGAGACCACAATTAATCATTTAAGGTATAATTTAATGTTCCTAATTTTTTTAAACACAAAAGTGGGAGTCTACTCTACAAATTAACATCCTCAATGGGAATGGAAAAAATTTGTAATACAATGTTCGTTTGGTTTCTAGGATCAAACACATGGCCATTGAGCTACAATTATTACTAAAAGTATATTGTAGTTTTATGTAGATTTTCAGCATGTTAAAGCAGTAACAATACCATAAAAGTAAGCGTCCCAGCTTCAGCTGCAGTTACACTTCCGGATACAGGAGCATCTAACTTGAAAGGTTTTTCCCGATCACCTACACAATATATAATAGTATCACAACATTAAAGGAGTAAAATTTTTCAACCTACTAATTGCTTGAAATCGATAGACCAGGATGATGTTATGACAGCCTCTCTATACATTCGTAAAGAAGAATATAACAAGACAACTTAGTATAGAACACCTATGCATTTTCATTTAAGACCCATCTTCAAATGAATAGAGATTTGAATCTATTTGTGAAATGATGTCTAATGACTTAAAAGCCAAAATCTACTCATGCTAAAATAGACAACTGAACACAACAGAATGGGCAATTTTCAGATTGTAATCAGTTAGGTTGTAGTAGTTCTACACTTATTTTACACATGCCTTAACTGCAGACCTATTATTAACTTCAAAATCAATTAAAATGTTACAATGACTGAAATTATTTCTTCGGTAGTTTAATGAGAAATTTGATACATCCTTATGAAAAAGACAGGTGAAATTACTGGGAATAATATCAGAAACATTTGCCACATGTATTGACAAAAGAAAAAACTCCGAGGTAACAATTGTTAAGAGCTTCAAAAAGTAATTTAAAGAATCTTTAAAAATATTTGAATGGCAAGATAACATCAGAAACATTTGCCACATGTGATTCACAAAAGAAACAATCTCCGAGGTAACAATTGTTAACAGCTTCAGAAAATAATTTAAAGAATCTTTAAAAATATTTGAATGGGAAGATAACATCAGAAACATTTGTCACATGTAATTCACAAAAGAAACACACTCCGAGGTAACAAATGTTAAGAGTTCAGAAAATAAATTAAAGGATCTTTAGAAAAAAAAAAAATTGAATGGCAAGATATATAAATTGCAGAACCCACAGCTTTGTGATTTTAACCATAGGCATGATACTCTGGGTTTGTGTGTGGGACCAAAATGAAAACACTCATCATGAGACAAGTGTTAAACATATTCCATGAAGAGGATAAAAGTTCCACTCAACTTTTTATACAAATATAAAAAGTTTGTGAATTGGATGGCATAGCCATAGCATACACAAGTGAAAGACATTGTCATAAAATGGTCAAGGATTTTCCGTTAGCAACAAATTAGTTATGAATGAATATGATAAAACTAATTCAATGATGCTAAAAGGATTAGAAATTCTTAGATGCAAATTCAAGTTACAATACTTTACTTTGTTGACATTTCACTTTATGTTACCTTTTTTTTCTTTTAGAATATAATTAGAAACTGTAGCAGAAAGGTTTCTTGATGTTTCTGGATCAATAGTGGATGAATCTAACAACAACCATGGCCTTAGGAGTTTTCCACCATGAAGCAAACCATTTGGTCCAGTGTAAACATCAATCACCTACTTAAATAAGGATGTTATTTTGGTATCAGAACAAAGTCATATAACAATATTGGAAGCATTAGACAATTCATTGAAACCTGAAATATGCTAAATGAGATATTCAGGTACCCACCTTACAAAACTATTCAGCTAAATAACATTTTATAGGTCAAGGCAGTCTGCTTTAAGTCTAGACGCCACCATTTATATAAAGCTAAAGCTAAATGGCAGAAAGGATAAAATCAGACTATACATAGTTTGACATAAGGTTTGACTATGAAATAAGTTCATTTCTTTGTCTCCAAATATATATTACAAATCATATGTTAGTTCGGTTAATGTGCTAAACTAGCTTAAACAGGTAACAATTGATGCAAAAAATGAGAAAATATTAGGTTTCATCATGTTACAAAATCAGAAGCCTTCACTTTTTTGTATATATGACAGCAGTACAGGTTGCACCAAACATTTTTAAATTTATTTTTACCAAAGAAACTATGTGGGTGGAGAACTTGACACTCTTATCATCTGAGCCAGAAAATTGAAATCATAACTCAAGCAATAAGTTGTTGACGAACTAGGTGAAGCCATGAAAGATGTAATGCATTCACATATAAGAAGGGAATGCCTTTTGAAACTAATTCCCATACTCACATGGGCAGAAGTAGGTAACATTGTGATTACAACATCACTTGCTTCTGAAACTTCGTAAGGTGTTTTCTTTGTGGGGATTCCCATACGTGAGAACATCTCGAGAACATCAGAGTTTCTGCCAAATTTTGACAAATTCAATTAACAACACCACAGGCATTCTGCTTAAATTAGGGAAAAAAGATTAAGCAGCTTAAGGATTTTATAAGATGATCTTAGAATATTAGAATGTATTATTAATTTATATCTAAATTTCCCTAAAGCCAATTAATGACACTCGAGGATTTTTTTTTCATTTGCTGACATCTTTTAGGTCATAAAAGTGTATTCCTCATATCCCATCAATAAACGATATAACCTTTAACTTTTATCTTCTCTATAGTTCTTTAATGGTAGATAGTTTAGTTTTACAGTGTAGCTTACAGCTTCCTAACAACAACGAATTATATTAACAGTGACATTAACTAAGACTCCCGATACGAATCATACTCTCAAGTTCAAGCCCCAAATAACTATATTTTATGAATTGCCCCTACAAATGAAATGAGAAAATATAGTACTCTCTGAGGATAAATTTTTTTTAAAAAAAAGGCATGATGAGATGAGGAAATGCATTACAGGTCATGAACTGTAAGACTGAATCCAGCTTTGATCAGATTATTTGCCATTTGAGACCCCATATTTCCGAGCCCAATGAATCCAATATTCTGCAGTGCATCAGCGAGGAGAAAATAAAAATTTACAAAGCATGCATCAACTTAACAAGTAGCATGTCAAACAAAGGGTACAAACTAATCCCACACATTCCAGTCTTATACATACTCAATTTTAGCTTAGAAAGGGAAAATTATTGATAAAACCAGAGAGAGACCTGCAAGTGACACGGGAGAGCCTGTGCCGAAGAGAAAGTGCGCATTGAAGAACATTTCGAAAGGGAAAGCAAAGATTTCAACCTGCAAATCGCCATGGATACCCTTTCGATCTCTGTTTCTTTGCTTGTTCAATTTCCTATTGTGACACTTTTTTTGTCTATATCAAATTAGACATTTCACGATGGAACAAAGTAACCGCGTGCTTTATTTAATACAAGGTTAATTTAAATACGACGCAAACTTCAGTATCAGCAGCATGAATCTGTCGATGTTGACATTTGAATTTTGTGTTAATTTCTACGTTAAAAGTTCAAATCCTGTACACTTTTTTCTTTATTAATAGAAGTTGAAGTGAGATTAGATATGATTCATACTAGGGTATGCAAAAATTAGAAAATTTATTCGATATATGATAGTATTTATAAGACATTTCCTTACAGATTATACAATTTGACATTAATAATAACATTAAAATTATGTTGTTATACACTGTTCTTTCTAGTTCCTTTTCTAAGAAACAAATGATCATTTAATATTATTATTTTTTTAATATAAAGAAGATTAGATATAATATTTTAAATACACTCTTCATAAAACTTTTTGTAACTTTTATTTAATTTGAATAAGAAGAAAGTGTGAATACTCATTAATAAAATAGAGATAAACAAAAGTAAGGGATAAGAAGGAATCAATGATTGAATGTTGACGCTGCATGATAATCTTGTTTATTTTCTAATTTTTAATTCTTATATCTATTCCTTCACAAAAAATATTTTATTTATTAACAAATATTTGTTATATTTTCTTTATTAATCAATGGTTGTGGAAGCCATGTTTTGTTATATTCAAGCTTTAAGTTACTGGCATTTATATATGGAATTATCTTAAGACAAAACGTTGTTCAATTCAAAAGAATTCTAACACACCTGATTCAACGTCGTCTCAGCAACTTGTTTAAAATATATTATTAGCTATTTGTTTTGTAAAAATGAATTTTATTTAATGTGAATTTGAAATAAAACGATGTGTGAATTGTTTTTCTTCATAAATTAAGTTTACAATCTGCAATGTGATTTTAATTACGTTATTTATTTAAATTAAAATATTGTTTAAATATTCAATTTTTAAAAAATATATAAACCATAAATAGGAATGCATATTTCAAACTTAATCCAACGTCAAGTTTCACACAAAAAAAAAAAAAAAAAAAAAAGGTAAGAAAGGCTCCCGAGAAATGTATAATATATAGTAAAGGAAAAGAGAAGAAACATAAGCAAAACATCATTATTATAGGACATGCAAAAGCTCTAAAAAAGAAATTTGTGCAATTAACAAAAATATCCGGCAGTTCCTACGAAGTAGCCCACTAAAATAGAGTAGAACTTTGGGTTTTGTCATAAACTATTAAATTTCCAAAAAGGAATTTGATTCAGGAAAATTTTCATTAGTTACACTTGGAATTGTCCTTGGTCTACAATCTAAAGGCATTTACAAAATTCATAATTGTTTGTCTGGAAAAAAAATGGCAAATTCTTACATACTAATTAGTAATTTAGCATGTATTGTGTGGCTAAAGGGAGCAAGTAAATTTCTCTATGTAAACCCAAGGTTTTAAGAGAGAAAAATAATGGCTGGTTAATTATGTCTGTAAGTGGTCATTCTCATCATTTGAATATCATCAACTAATTGAGTACTTATTCTAAATTGAAAATAATTTTAACAATAATTTTTTTTTGTAATTCTCTCATATGAAGTTCAGTATAAACAAAAAAGTTTGATCATTCTTATTCTTATTATTGTGTGTCCTTACTCTGGTAACCCTACACCCTTAGCTGTGAGACTAATCCAGTTTGGGTTGAGCTTATCTCTCCTTACAATGCATTTAAGCAAGCTTGTAGGTTGAAATCAATGATTATTAGTAGGTCTAAATTATCGCACTGTAATGACTATTCATACTATAGATTTCCAAGTGGTACAAGTACCCCAATTAAACTCGCGTAAGTTGAGTTAAAGCTCAGTTACTTACCATAAGCTTGGATGCAAACCCTCCTGTATAATCCCTTGACGAGGGAACCCCTTCCATCAGCCCAGGAACTGGGTTGTAAGCATCACTGTAATTCATGCAACTACTACCTATTAATTTGATATTCTAAAAACCAAAACATTAACCTTGTAAAAAATTCCTTAAAGGTTGTGAACTAATCTATATATGAAAAATCTGTAGTTGAAAAAGAAAGCATATTTTTGTTTTCACGAGAAAACTAGTAAAGGTTTCAACGAATACAACAAAACAACATACAGGAGGACTGTTGTTTATGAGGAAAAAATACCAAGAACGAGTTTGGGATTTTGTCACTTGCAGTGAAGCTAAGCAATGGCAACTAGTTATGTGTCTCTCAGACAATGTACTTTAAAGCTATAGCCTTTTGAATTTCATGGTACTTTCATTTGTGCTAGGGGAACTATCCTCCTACGTTATATTGCTTACCGATTCCTTTATATCTACAATATGACAGTTACTAATTCTAAGGCCTCAAAGAATCTTTGCTACCACGTATTATTAATGATGATAATGAAACCAATATAGTTTAGCAGATAATTGTCTCATCGTGTGAGAGAAAATGAGTACCTACTCCAACAGCGAGCACTGGAGCAATTAAATATATTTGTCAACGTGCGAGCAGAAACACCAAGAGATTGACCTAGAGCAAGAGCTTCTGATACTCCCAGCATGCTCACAGCCAAAGCCAAATTATTGCAGATTTTTGCTGCCTAATAAGAAAACCCAAGACTAGTATATGACTTACAGTTAAACAGACATTTGGGAGTACCAATTAAGTAATGTGTAACTTACAGAACCACTCCCCGCTGCACCACAATATATTGCACTTTTACCCATTGAAAAGAGAATGGGTTTTGCTGCAAGAAATGCTTCCTCAGAGCCACCAACCTGGGGAAGTTCCATTATATGTTCATTACTCAATTTACTGCCAAAAATTTACAACTTTTCTACAACTGTTTTAGCACGGTTACCTCATTACCATGTGCAGCTCATAATTTTTTTAAGGTATAATTTAATGTTCCTAATTTTTTTAAACACCAAAGTGGGAGTCTACTCTACAAATTAACATCCTCAATGGGAATTGGAAAAATTAGTGATACAATGTTCGTTTGGTTTCTAGGATCAAACACATGGCCATTGAGCTACAATTATTACTGAAAGTATATGGTAGTTTTATGTATATTTTTAGCATGTTAGAATAAAGCAGTAACAATACCATAAAAGTAAGCGTCCCAGCTTCAGCTGCAGTTACACTTCCGGATACAGGAGCATCTAACTTGAAAGGTTTTTTCCAATCACCTACACAATATATAATCATTGAGTACCACAACATTAAAGAAGTAAAATTGTTCAACCTACTAATTGCTTGAAATCGATAGACCAGGAGGATGTTATGACAGCCTCTCTATACATTCGTAAAGAAGAATATAACAAGAAAACTTACACTATAGAATACTTTGTAGAACACCTATGCATTTTCATTTAAGACCCATCTTCAAATGAATAGAGATTTGAATCTATTTGTGAAATAATGTCTAATGACTTAAAAGCCAAAATCTACTCATGCTAAAATAGACAACTGAACACAAGAGAAAGTAGTGGGCAATTTTCAGATTGGAATCAGTTAGGTTGTAGTAGTTCTACACTTAAAAATCAATTAACTGCAGACCTAATTATTAA